GGCACCCTGGGACAGGGTCTCACCACCAGAACAGGGAAAACTTCTGCCTAAAATCTAACCTAAATTTCTCCTCTTTCAATCTGTACCCATTGCTCCTTGTCCTATCATTGCAGTTCCTAACCAGAAGTTAGCACCATTTTCCTTTGCCAGGCTGAACATTCATTCTGTGCCAGATTCCATCATGGTTAGTAACAAAGTATTCAGGGGTTTGTTTATTTCCTTGTTTTATTGGCTTTTTGTTCATCTCTTTCTCTGGATTCATCAGGTGGGAACCCCCAGGTATCTCCCTGAGAGAGTTTTACACTGTCTGATGCAACACTGTGGATCATTCAGAGTCCTCTGGTGGAAGCCCCAGAGATGAGTCTGGTGGCACTTTGTGGGTCTTTGATGGTTTATCATCCCCAATAAGCCATGAGGCTGTTTTTCATGCCAGCATAGTTATGTCAGTTGTGCTTTGTAAGAAGGGATGGATAACTTCAGGCCTAGGTGTGAATGTCCTGATACCTCCCCAGGGAGGGAGTTTTTGCACCTGAGACAGTTGTGTAAGGGAAGAATTTGGCATGATCCCACCTTGAAGGATCTTCTTCTTATCACCCTTTGCCCTTGGCTGGCTCACAAACCATCTAGTTGCCAAACAAAGGTGGGTTTGGTGCTGTCATCCTCCGGTGATGGGTGCACATCCCCTCTGCACCTGAGCTCTTATGCAGGTCAGAGGTTTCACCACCACACCCCAACACTCCCTTGGGCTGGGGAGTGCAGACTTAGCATCAGCAAAGCACCGAAATGGCCAAAGTTTGAGTCACTGATCTTTAACATCTCAGTCTCCGATAAGCACAGAGTGCTAAAATGAAGAAGAAAACAAACCAACCCAAAGCTCACCCAGTAGACTAATTTATTCACATTGTGGCATACATTGAGGGCCTACATATGGTGAATTCTTAGGGATGAGTCCTAACTGTACTGAGAACAAACCCAACATTATGACCTTGGATAACCTTTGGATTATTTTTTTTGCCTGCTTTTAAATTGTAGTCATTTGTATCTGAAGTCATAAGCATAAATTGAACTGTATCGAAGAACATGCATATGTTTTTCAGTTAGGTTATCTTTAGAAAACATCTAGATATGCTACAGCACCAGGTGATAAATGATTGTCATAGACAACAAGACATCTGGTGTCAATGCCGTTGTCTCGGTTGATAAAGTACTGGTCAGTTATTTTACAGGTAAATGACAAGGGAAGGGAAAAAAAAGTGCAATCTTCATAAAAAATATAAAGAAATACATACTACATTGTAATTTGTAAGGATTTTTTGTAACTTTGAGATAGTGACTGTAATAGTACAAACTGAAAGAAATGGTGATTTTTGACCATGGTATTTCCCAAGAATAAATGCAAACTATTTAAATGCTATTTGTCTCTGTTAAATAAAGTAATACAGACTATTTTGGGGAGGGGGGGGGAAACAACCAAAAATGTGTAAAAAGTTGTTTAGGAGACTATGGGGGGAAAGAATTTATTCCCTAACTACAGGATTGAGCTAATTACAGGACAGTACTTTTTTATGTACACAAAGGGCAAACATGACACAAAGATAAATAGTTCTAGATCTAGCTTAGTGTTTTATATTAGTGTTCAAAGTTCAGTGATGAGGCAAAATGCCTACTGCTAAAACTACTTTAGGGAGTTTTTTTTCACAGTTCCAGTTATTTTCTAACACAAACATAACAGAAATGAACCGTAAAACAGAGTCCTTAGGTTGTCTGATGGTTTCTTGGGTGTTCTTTTTATTCAGTCGTGTGGCCAAATCACAGTTAGATCAGGTTGATGCTTCAGACTTTGTGTCTGGTTGAATAACATGAGCTTTAGCTGGTCAAGGCTATTGCAATCGAGGAATGGATTGGAGTGATCCCTTCAGAACAGCAGTGCATGTTTTCTGGGCTTGGAGAACGAGGCAAGTTGCAGATGTGTGTTTATATGCTTGGCAAATCGAGTCTTTGAAGAGGATACAATGCACAATTCACATGATGCAAAAGCCTCTAGAAATCTGCTGGTCGAATCATCATAGTTGTAGCTTTGAGAGAGTATCCTGAGCCCTTCCAGTAGTACCACTTGATCCCATTAAACTTGTTGTTGTTCTGTCGTAATGGGTAATACATCCCATTGAGGTTGGAAGGACCACAGGCATCAAACCACCATCCTGCAAGGCAGGAGACAAACATCAGCAGAAGCAATTTTCAAAATACTACATAAGGTTACTTTGCTGCCTGGAAATGAGAAATAAATCTAACCACAGGTTTTAATTCTCATGATTTGGAAGTGTCACTAAGAAATGGGATCATAGAACCAACCAGGTTGGAAAAGACCTCAAAGATCATCAAGTCCAACCCTCCCGTGGTCACTAGCCCATGGCACTAAGTGCCACATCCAGTCTCAGCTTGGAAACCTCCGGGGATGGGGAATCCACCACCTCCCTGGGCAATATCCAGTGCTGAACACCACAACAGGGAAAACATTTCTCCTCACACCCAATCTGACTCTGCCCTGGCTCAGCTCAAGGCCATTCCCTCTCTCCTCTCCCTCAGCCCTGGCAGGACACACATCCCACACCTCTCTCCAAACTCCCCTTGAGATTAATTCAGTTCTTGGTGCAGATCAGTTCAAAACCTCCTGAAACTTGGTAAGAAGAAAAGGGAGAAAATATCAGCCTAAACATATTTTGTGTCTTTATAGCCCTGACATGTTGGTGGGTCAAAAGGAAAATTTATTTTTGTTAATAAAACAATATTTTTATACTTCTGTTACGCTGGTGATAGTGTGTGTTCTGTTTTGCAGGGCACTAGTCCAGTTACCCTTTGGGAGAAACTGAAGTTGCCTTTTTTTCTTGCAACTTGTTCTATAGAGAAGGAACCATTGGTTACAGGGAGAGAAATCAAATCTACAAAGAACTTGTTTACATTTCAGAATGTGGAATTTTAGACTCCCAAATTACAGAGCTGCTTTCATGTTTGAAGACAAAAATACCACCTAAAACTCCAATAATTTGTGAACAATCACTAGAAAAAAATGTAGTTATCTCTGTGGTGTATTTTTACCATTTGATAACTATATTGATACATGGAATTAAATACCTGTAACCTACTGAGGCATGTTCAGTTCAAAGCAGCTTTTGGGGGTTTTTCTTCTCCTTTGGGTAGTGAAAGAGTTTATGCCTAAAGAATCAGGAGCCATTTCACTGACAAACTCAATCTCTGAAACAGGTTTGCTTTGATCCCTGAATGTTACCTCATTCCTTGGGAGAAGAACCTCTTGTCTCCCTGGTTAGTTCCACAATTACAGCCTTTCCTATGCCACAGCTATAGAGAATTTTTTCCCCTCCAGTTTTAACTTCTCTTGTTTTACTCTAACCTTTGTCAAATGATCATTCACTTGGAGTCACCAAACGAGTGTTTCTACCTGTGAGTTTTGGGCTTTTTCAATAGTCAAAATTTGACTAAGTCAAAATTCTCACTATTTACCTCGTAGACAATTTCAGTGCCAACAAAAATAGGAAGACTGAGAAGCAAAAAAAAGCACATTCCTACCTCCTGTTAGCATTTGTGAACATTTGCAAATACATTTGTCATTGTCTGCATCCTTTGTGCTAAAATCATTTCCTGGTTGGCTTATGCTACTTATTTTGCCTGCTGTCCCAGTAAGTCCTTTAAGGTAAATCCTGTAGAAGTGAGAAATGGAAAAACAATTATTATGTGGAAGTTGATGGGAGTTGATCTGCAAAATAACGATGGAATAGTTTGCAATAAATATCCTGTTCAAGCAGTTGAGTTCTCTCCTGGCCAAGGTACTGCTGTAAGCTGTTTTCCAGCATAATGTTTTCATGTGAACAGAAATGGCAGCACAATATTCTAACAACAGCCTCCACATTTGTAGAGATGATTGTTTCAGTTACAGTATAAAAAAACATGAGACCAAGTAGATAATAACTGCTGGAATTTGGCATATAGATCACATAATACTGAAAGTACATCGCTGTATTTTAATGCAATGATAGAGGCAATTGGGGGATTTCAGTTCAAAGGTTTAAAGCCAAAATTTTTTTGTTCCTATTTTACTGTTAGAACCATAGAATCATCAAGGTTAGAGGAGACCTCTAAGATCATCAAGTTCAACCATTAACCTGTCACTGCTGGAACCACTAAACCCTAACCCAGATCCTCCAGTGCCACATCAGACACCTCTGAAACACCTCCAGGGATGGTGACTGCACCATCTCCCTGGGCAGCACATCCCAAGGCCTGAGCACTCTCTCTGGAAAAAATCTCTTCCTAATCGCCTCCCTAACCCTCCCCTGGCAGAGCTTGAGTCTGTGCCCTCTTGTCCTGCTGCTGGTTGCCTGGGAGCAGAGACCAACCCCCACCTGACTCCAACCTCCTGTCAGGGAGTTGCAGAGGGTGCTAAGGTCTCCCCTGAGCCTCCTCTTCTCCAGGCTGAACACCCCCAGCTCCCTCAGCCTCTCCTCATGGCACTTGTGCTCCAGTCCCTTCACCAGCCTCGTTGCTCTTCTAATGAAGTCAGTCTGACACCTGAGAGAACTGATGCTGTTATTTCCACTCAGGTCTCCTATGGAAGCAAAGCAGTGCAAAACTATCAGCATCTGCCCCCCCACAAAACCTTAGATCTTAATGCCTTGGTAGTATACAGCTGTCTCAACTCCAAAGTAAATATTTTTTCATCTGGAAACAGTCAGAACCTAGAGCAGAGATTTCTTTTTTTCAAGTCATGCTTTTAAATACTTAGCAAGGCAACCTTTGCAAAATGGGTCATTGCCCTTGTCCATTGCAATATTAAAACATAATTGCTGAAAACTAAGATGGTAAAAGAAACTTGATTTTAATATGCAACCAAACATGGAATGTATAATAAATACTGCAGTGGTTTAAAGAATGTATTTAACATTATAAAAGAGAAAAAAAAGGAAGGAAGTGTTAAATTAAGAGCATCTTGGAGAAGAGAAGGTTGTGTGGAAACCTCAGAGCACCTTCCAGGAGCTGAAGGGGCTCCAGGGAAGCTGCAGAGGGATCTGTGTTAGGAGCTGCAGGGACAGGACAAGGGGCAATGGGGACAAATTGAAAGAGGGGAAATTCAGGTTAGATCTTAGGCAGAAGTTTTCCCTGTTCTGGTGGTGAGACCCTGTCCCAGGTTGCCCAGGGAGGCTGTGGCTGCCCCAACCCTGGCAGTGTTCACAGCCAGGTTGGATGAGCCTTGAGCAACCTGCTCTGGTGGGAGGTGTCCCTGCCCAGGGCAGGGCTTGGGGCTGGATGATCTGTAAGGTCCATTCTAAGCCCTAAATTCTATGATTCTATGGTTCTAGGATACAATTCTTCATCTTTGCATTTTGTGTGTTACACTCCCCCAACAGTGCACTAATGAAATACACCTTTTTTCTGTTGGAAAAAGAAATTTACTTTTTAGGCAATGGGTGAAAAATGGAGCTCACATTATTTTCTGAGTGAACTGCAAAACAGTCATGATATGTATGAAATAAAGCTATGCACAGTCTAGAATCGGTTTGGGTTTTCTTATTCAGGTCTAGTTTTTCTGCTTACCTGTATTTTAGTTCTTCATTTGCTAGAGAGAAGTGGTCATACAATGAATATGCCTCGTTTCCTTCCCAGTCTTTCAGGTGGATTTTAAGAACGTAACGTTTCTGATTAGTGAGTTGAGAAACAAACTCATTTCCCAGCCAGTACTCCCCAGCAGGATCACCAAATCCCTGTAATTCAAGTTGTATATTTAAATAGCTTTGTTTTGGGGTTATTATGTTTTATTTTATTTGAGTTTGTAATGATCACTTGATCAGTTCTTAAGGTTAGTATATTCAATGTGTCAATAAGAACTTTACTGTGTCTATGAGGGTTATCAGTCTGTAATATTTCACACAGTTTCAGCAAGGACAGACTCAAGAATCTGAAAAGTGAATCACTACTACTGAATAGATTTGGAGCAGCTTCTACTGTTGTCACTAGAAACACAAATATAAATACCTCAAAAATACAGATATATGATGGAACTGTTGATCAAAGCAAAGTGAGGTTACTCTTTAAAAACAAACATCACACTTGTAAGTCTCTTAGGCAAACAACTTAGGCTGCTCTGACATTTTCTAAATGAGCATCTAAGGACAAAGAAAACTTCTGAAAGTTGCTTACATTCTAAGGATGCTATTAATGTAACTTTAGTCTCTTAGATTTCCAATAATAATAACTCATTAAGGCTTCAGAAAACATTGTTTACCATCTTGTACTCTTTCCACGTCCGGTGAAAGTCCACACTGCCATCTTCACGTCTCTGGATAACTGTCCAACCTCCTCCACCAGTTTCCATGTCACAATAGGCCTAGCAGAGTAAGCATGTAAGACCATAAATGTGTGCAGTCATGGCAAAACCAAAACAGAAAGTACATTCTTTGCATAATTCTATAGAGTGGCAAGTTGTGTGCAAACTGTGTGTTCATGTATGTGAGTTTTCATAGCTTTCACACAAATCAGTTGTGGTTGTCCACCAATCAATGGGATCATCACAGTTGGAATCACAGAATCACCAAGGTTGGAGGAGACCTCTAAGATCATCAGTCAAACTATTAACCTGGCACTGCTGGAAATCCTAAACCCTAACCCAGATCCTCCAGTGCCACATCAGACACCTCTGAAACACCTCCAGGGATGGTGACTGCACCACCTCCCTGGGCAATATTCCAATGCCTGAACACCCTAACCCTGATGGTTTTATGATTCTCTATCTCCCCTGGATTGTCAGAGTATAGACACTGTTAAATTCAGGCAGTGAGAAGACTGACATCTATTTTTATTTCCACTGTCATTGTTCAATGCAAATGAGATCTAACCCCAAAGTTAAATCTAAGTGTAGAGCACTTATTATCTGAAAGTCAAATCTTGAAGCTGAGTTATTGTATATACTGCAATGAAGAGCTTAGGTACTTGAATAAAGAAGTAACAACTGTATGATGTTTCCAAATATTCATAAACCACCTTTGATTTACCAAGTTCTTGCCAAACATTTGAAAGGACTGAGCTGTAATGAGCAGTTCACTGGACTCAGTGTTAGAATCCCCAATAAATGCATTTCTGGCATAGTAAAATTCAAGTTCATAGGTGACTTGTTCAGTTAGTCTTGCCCTAGAATAAATCATTGCAGTGTCAGAGGTGAAAGGTATTACTGAAAGTACCAAAATCATGGGGGAGATGCTGATAGAAAAAAAAGTATTTGGAAAATTAGTGGGACTCTTGGAGTGATGTTTGGGAGAAATAGGGGATAAATTAATGGGAAAAATTTGTGAATATGTGAATATTTAGTGCAGGTTTTCTCAATAAAATTGTGGAGTCAGTGGAACTAAGCTGGTGTAAGACAGGACAATGAAAGTCAAACTGAAGTCAGTATCTATTTAAATTGCATGTTAGGACCAATGCTATCTCTAAGAAAAATATTAAATCCCTTGTACAGCTATTCCTGTCTGGAGACTTCACTGTTGATACTCTCATTTGTCAGCTGAATTTTTTTGGCCTCTTCCTGCCAAGATACTGAAGTCCTGAGCTGTGTTCTGAATTATTTTACATCTTTGAAAAGCTTCAATATTCTAGTCTGAGTATTAAACTACATTAACTTCTAATCTGTCTTCCAGATCTTCCATCCATTTAGTGAAGTTGCATCTTCCCATTTCCCAGTGGTGGAGCCAAGATTTGACTTCTTACACTTTGAGAGAATATTTCATCTGTTCAGAGTAATTAATAAATAAAACAACCTAGAGAAGCATTTCATTAGGATTTTGGATATTTCCCTCTCTGTTTCAAAAGTCTCTCAGTGGTCTTACTTCTTACCTAAGTTCCTGCTGCTTGTCACAATGTGCCTATAAAGGCCCCAAACCATGACTGAACGACACTGAAGCTCTTTGAACTGTTTGACATCCTGGAATTTCATTGAAAAAACTATGACTTCAGGGAAGGCAGAGTTTCCTTCTGTGAAGCAAAGTGTTCTCCTTGCTGAATTTTCAGTGCTGTTGGCTCTTTTAGGGTATGTGCAGTGAGTGTATGTTTTACACACCTATACATGTACATAAAGGAAATAGTATTTACAGTTCAGGCATGTCATATAAACTGTTCAAAGGCATCTGAAGGGAAGGAAAGTCCTTCCAGCTGCAAGTATCAAACATATTAGACTTCCAATAGGCTGTAACACATTGGAAATCCCAAACATATCCTGTGTTTTAAGGTTGTGTCTAGACCCTTTGTTCAACATCAGAGAATCACAAGGCATTCAACAGGAGGATTTTAGGCAAGATAAAATAAATAAGGAAAAAAGAGTTGGATTAGGGATTACCTTTTAAGGTATGTCATGTGAATGGAATTTAATTGAAAGCTGCAAGTTTAACTTGTACTGATGTGTGCAATTCCTGACAGCTCAAAGCTTGGTTGGTGTTTGTTTTTTGCTAACTCTGTATGTAATGACTGACAAAAACTTGATAAAAGTCTATACATTGCATTCAGTTAAGACAAAAATTGCCTTGAAAAGGAACGGCTGAAGGTAAGGAATTGTAAGACACGATCAACCTGTTTTAGAAAGGTAACACATGATGTGCAATGCATATGTGAAAGCTAATTTCCACACATGGCTATGAAAAGAGATGCTAGGCATGGGCTAAAGCAAATGCAGATACTTCCATTAACCTTGGCTACAAGGTAAAAAGCTGATTTACCAATGGTCAAATACAATTGGCTGTAGAGAAAAAATTCCAACCCTTGAATTCTATGATTCCATTTCTTAGACAAACATGAAAAAATTCTAAAGTTTTTAGTTTATCATTTGATACTGTTTGATATTTCCTTACAAAAGGAAGAAATTATTCTATGGAATTCCTAAGGCTTTGCTATTTATTAGATGTTAGGAGAAATGTTTTCCCTGTTGTGGTGTTCAGCACTGGGATATCGCCCAGGGAGGTGGTGCAGTCACCATCCCTGGAGGTGTTTCAGAGGTGTCTGATGTGGCACTGGAGGATCTGGGTTAGGGTTTAGTGGTTCCAGCAGTGACAGGTTAATGGTTGGACTGGATGATCTTAGAGGTCTCCTCCAACCTTGATGGTTCTATAATTCCTGTTACAGGCAGTATCCATTCTATAAGGGAATGGTAAGTCAACTAGCTTTTATAAGCACTATAGATTCTTTGGGATAAATATTGGGACACTGCCAATTTATTCCCAAAGGGAAAAGCAACTCATTAGGAACTGAAACACATAATAAGAAATTGAAGAAAAGATGTCCATAAAAATCTCATGTTGATTTTTCTTACCACTAACAATTTTAAAATGCTTATGTAAATTTAGGAGTATAATTTTCCCACACCAAAAAATATTTCATGTCAGTCAACTCTAAGGTTTTCTCTTAACTCTCATTACTAGAACAGAACACTTCTGACCTTTCAACCTAGCCTAGGTTTTATATTCAAAAGGAAGAAATGTAACATTTGATAAAACTAGTAAAAATAGATACCAAGATTAGGCAGGCAGCAGGAGTCTTCAAACAGATGCCAAAAAGAATAAAGAGATTAGCCTCTCAAGTTACAACAAACTGGAAAGGGGAACATTTGATGCATCTTGTGAGCTGCTTCAGTACTTACAGTTCTAGCAACTGTAGCACTGTGAGAGGATATTTGGGGTTTGAGTGCTTTCAAACCTACTGCATGAATGCTGGAAAATGGTGCAAACCAATAAAACAAGAGGGAACAGCAAAAATGATGCACAGGAAGTTCCACCTGAATATAAGGAAGAACTCCTTTCCTGTGCAGTCACTGAGCACTGAACTGAACAGATAGAGATCGTGGATTCTCCCTCACTGGAGGTATCTTATCCAGTTTGTGGCCTCCTCTGCACTTGCTCCAACAGTTCCATGTCCTTCTTACATTGAGGGCACCCAAACTGTGTGCAGTATTCCAGGTGGAGTACCAGGAGAGAAGAGCAGAGAAGAAGAATCACCTCTTTTGACCTGCTGCCCACACTCCTTTGGATGCAGCCCACAATTATGCAAATCTATTTTGTTGTGTATCTTATCCAGTTTGTGGCCTCCTCTGCACTTGCTCCAACAGTTCCATGTCCTTCTTACATTGAGGGCACCCAAACTGTGTGCAGTATTCCAGGTGGAGTACCAGGAGAGAAGAGCAGAGAAGAAGAATCACCTCTTTTGACCTGCTGCCCACACTCCTTTGGATGCAGCCCACAATTATGCAAATCTATTTTGTTGTTAAATTCAAACTTGCTCCAATCACTTTCTGCAAGAAAGTTTCAGTTAAAAGGCCTTGGCTTGGAGTGTGTGTCAGTTCTGGCACAAAACCTCAGCCTAACATGGGTGGAAATGGGGAAAAGCTTGGCTGCTGCTTCAGGACTATTTTAAGATTTGGGGTAACATGTTGGTAAGAGTTTTATGTATTTTTCCTGCTTAAGACCAGGAGGTTAATTGGTTCGTGTGGTTGCTGTAAACATGGAGTTACTGACTTCTCACGGGTTTGCCTCTGCCATTTTTCCTTGTGTCAGCAATCTTTGGCTGTTTTTCCTTTGACTTCTCATGGGTTTGCCTCTGCCATTTTTCCTAGTGTCAGCAATCTTTGGCTGTTTTTCCTCAGTGTTTTTCAAAAGGACTTAGCTTTTGTCCTGGTGCGGAACAGGAAAGCTTGAAAATATTAATGGAATGAAATAATTGTTTTCCTCTCAGCTCTCCGATGCAATTCCTTAGTTTTGGATTATGATGGGAGACAAATTAGTGGAGTGGGATCGGTTACAGATTAGACAGAAGTTGTTTATAAGCCTGTTGGGAGGTCAGAAGGTGTTACAAGAGGAAAAGACAAAAACATAAACAGCAGTGCAGCACTTTTGGCAAATCAAAAAGGTCACTCTGTTTCCTGGTCCCAGTAGCCATCCACACCACAAACAGCTGAGAGTGGTGTAACGTGTTGGTTATCCCTAAATCTTCACTTCCCTTGACAACTTAGTGCATTTGTATTTGTATAAAAAATCAGCATCAGATTCAAACTTTGCAGTCTCTAATTTTCAGTGTCATGTGGTAAGTACAATCTCCCCCTTTTTCTCTCTGAAATGGGCAGAATAGGATTTGAAGTCTTTAATATCATTGAATCATAGAATCAACCAGGTTGGAAGAGAACTCAAAGATCATCGAGTCCAAATGATTTATTTAATACTAATGTAATTAAGATATTACATTTGAACTACTTATTTTTAGCCTAGTCAGTTACCAAAATGGGTATTTTCATCGAGTGTTTTAAGCCTCTGTGTTGAAATGTGAAGCATTTGATGTCTTCTAGTCCAGGAAATCTGTGATTGTACTTTTGAAAATGCAGAGTTAAAGTTTATGGCAGAAATGTTCATTCTGTAATAGGAAATATTCCTGCTCTGTATATTATATTTGACAGTAAAATTAAAACCAAAGGTAAAGGCTTGAGACAAGTAACAGAGATCCAAGGTATGTAAAGCTTCCTGAGATTTCTGCTGCAATCCCTAACTTTAGAGCTGAGTAGCTTCTACTTCCTTTAGCTTTTAAAATGGTGATTGAAGGTATCTGTGCTATTTAAATACCATTCAGCTTCATGTGGAATAAAACACTTTGTCACATCTTCTGTAACAAATTTCCATTTGAAACAGATGTATTTAGACTAGACTATTCCAAAGGAAAAACAATTTTTGCTTTTCCCCGAGAGAAACAGACTGCAAACAATTTCTCTAGATGATATCTGCAAAATGATTGCAGGTTTTGAAATACTGTATTGTATAGATCTTGCCCAAACAAATGGCTTATTTCCTTCAGCTGAGAGCATCTGTGCCCCTGATTTTACCTCCTTTTGCCACCTAAAGGGACCTGGGAATATGAAGGAACTAAGAACTTAGAGGAGACAGGAGTCTGCTGGTCATGCAGAGAAACTCTGTTGGAGTTACAGGTTTTATAAAGAACTTACAGTACCTTATTGCTTTAATTGCAATAATTATGTGGGGGAAAAAAAGGATTACATTCTGACATACTTAAGTAAACAACCAAATGCTCATTCAACTAAGCCAAGATTTCACCTGAAGGACTTTTTTCTGCCTGTGACATACTCAGAAGTAGAAGTGATTAAATGCTTATAAAAAACCTTGCTAAGTAGTAAACTTCACCATTAACTAGCCTTTAAACAACATATTGGTCAGATCAAATAACTTCTAACATGCAGCATGCCCAGACAGCTCTTATAGCCATCCTACCTTCTTTTCTTGTGCCGTGTTTGAAACCGTCAAGGTGTAGATTCCACTTGTTGTCAGTCCAGATCTGAAAGCTTCAGCACAGTCTTTGAAGGTGATTTGCTCCTCTTTAGCTATGAAGTTGTTCTTTGCTGTTAAAAATACAAATAGGAATTGAAGGCATTAAGAAGAGATGAATAAATGTTTCTAAGAAGCAATTTATGACGGAAGCAGCTTAAAGATGATATACCTGGTCCTAGGCATGTCATAGAACCATAGGATTTTAGGGGTTGGAATGGATCTTAGGGATCACCCAGTCCCAACCCCTGCCCTGGGCAGGGACACCTCCCACCAGAGCAGGTTGCTCAAGGCTCATCCAACCTGGCTGTGAACACTGCCAGGGTTGGGGCAGCCACAGCCTCCCTGGACAACCTGGGACAATGTCTCACCATCCTTAGAGTTAAAACCATTTTTCTCACATCCAACCTAGACTTCCCCTCCTTCAGTTTGAACCCATTCCCCCTTGTCCTATCACTGCAGCTCCTAACACAGAGTCCCTCTCCAGCTCCTTGTAGCCCCTTCAGATATTGAAAAGTTTTATGTAGTCTTCTAGGACTGTGAAATCCAATGTAAGAGCTATGAAATCCTTTAGAATACAGCAGACCAGCAGAACTACTCTTACAACTTTTTTAGGTACCTTTTTTTTTTGCCCCTGTGCTGAGCCAGAACAGCTTTGTATGTTAGTAGCTGAAGCTTGGTAGCTCAGTCCAATCCCTTCTGGAATTCATTTGTGTTAAAAAAAATATATTTTCATATGTCTAAGCCTTTTTATTCTACAGAACAATCTACAGCTCATCTTTTTTGCAGTTCTTTATTAACTATGTAGGTTGGAATTTCCTGGCATTTCTCCTGCTGACTGATATTTCATATTTGACCCTTTTGGGGTTGGTTCTGTGTATTTTCCCTTTTAATTTAATCTAACAAGCACAGTCAGTTAGTCCAAAGCTTTAGGTGCCAGATAAATACATGCTTATATTACAGTTGCTTATTATGTTCTTTTGAGCTGGCTGATTCATTATTTACCTGCTTAAGTGCTTTGCCTTCAATGTAAAAATAACACGTTCAGTTTTTAATTGCTTTTCCACACTCTATTGTTTGTATACTGTCTTAGAAGCTTTCCCTGCTAATTTTGTCTTTTTGGCAAGCACTCAATATTTTTTCCACTCTGGGTTTAACAGTGCTGTAGCCAACATGACTTTGAGTTGTTTACTTATTTGTGCACTAGCAGAGCAGATAACATCAGCAGAAGCCTTGGTAATGGTATTTAAGGGGAATAGCATCAATTATTAAGGCAAAAAAATCTTGGACTAAGTTCAGGCTTTTATATAGAATAGCTATACCTTCTTATTTTGTCCAAGTTTCATATCAGACTGATATTCAAGGTAAGGAATGTTTAAATCCTGTGTAGCCATAACTTTCAGTTTATGGTTTGTGTGGGTTTTTTATGGAGCATATGAATCTGCATCAATTTGGAAGCTGTGCTCAGTGGCTCTGATTTATTGCAGGGTTGTCAGGCATTGGGGATGAGATATTTCCTATAAAATTTGCTCAGCTGAGGGATGTTTAGGATGAACCAGGAAACTTCAGTGGAGGACTTCAGGCAGTACCTGCTGCACTGCTCTGGTGCTTTCTGTTGTTGGGGGCTAAAAACTCTGCCCATGCTGATTCCTTTGCCTTTAGTAGCCACTGTATTTGTCCTTTCTTTGATGTGCATAAAGCAGTGAGAGGTGGCAGAAACAACCTGAGTGAGCCAGGAATGAAAGGTGCAGGCCTACATCATGCAGTTTAACCTAGATATATAGCCAAGGAACTCCATGATTCTATGTGAGATGAATAAATCTTGGCATCTCTGTATTTTGTTGGAGAAGTGAGCAGGCACACCAATATAAACCAGAGAAGTAGAACAAAATGTTGAAAAGAAGCCACATAAATCCTGTGGTTATTTCCCTCGCCCCCTTAAAAATAGGTTAATTTATTCAGACGCAGAATTTAAGGGAAAAAATACAGATTTTTTAAGGAGACGTTTGGTGGAACTAGTTGAAAGATTTTATAGGTAATAATATGCACAAATTGGGAAATAGCATAAAATGATACGAGCTTATCTGCTTTTACTTACAGTTTGGTGTGGATATCATAGTAAGCAAGTTATGAACAGTCTCCATCAGATCATGTTGCTGCTTTTGCAGAACAGAGTTGTTTACTGTAGCTGTAACTAACTGTTTTTCTAGTTCTTCTATAACAGAATTCTGTCTGGCTACCAGGACTTGAAGCTGATCTTTTTCATCTTTTATTGACTTCAGCTGCAGTGTGTGCTTGTCTTCCATCTCCAGAACTCTTTTTTCTAGAAAGCTAAAGAAAAAGTTACAATTAGACTCCCCAGAAAAAAAATCTGAGTTCATGCGAAGTGAATCGAGTTTGTTGGAGAAGTTTCTTTCTTCATAAGTACTCAACAAGGCCAAGTGCTGGTCCTGC